CGTTTTCATGTTATCATATCTTGGAGCACATGCGCTTGAATGGTATTCAAGGGCGTTTGTATGCCTGGGTCCGTGGCAACACATTAATTCAGTACCATATTCCTTTATGTGTGGGGTCCGTGGCTCAGATGTACCTTTGCATGTACGTGTGTATATATGTGTACACATACGTGCTGAGGAGGGGGGACGCAACGACATGGTGAACCACGTGGCCCCATGCACGCACGCGCGCACACGCGTTTGACAGTCCTTGCTAGCCAGCCTGTGCTCAGACCAAATGAGACATACATTGACTGACTATCATGGGAAAGCCTGATCCTGCTTCTGATGGCTTTGTTGCACCCATCAGCGATGGCAAGCAACGGGGCTTCTTGATGTCGCGGGAGTGCGCGCAGGACAGGACATATCAAACACCTCCACTCAGCTGCGATCTTTGCCTTCGAAATGTTTGTTGGTTTTCAAAGCGCCAAGCGGGTTCGACACGACGCATAGCATAGGGCTTCGGGTTATGTTCCCCCAGGACGCCCTCACAGGATATTCGAGGTGGTTCCTGCAGAGGATGAACTGCAGAGTTCTTTCGGCTGGCGAATGTACTTACTTGTTTGAAGATATTAGCAACGATGCGTCCAGCAGTTCAGCTTTCCATGACAATCAAGTTGCTCGCGCAGTCGGCATATTAAAGTTTGATGAGAACGAGTCGATTGATTTGTCGAAGTTCGAGCAAACCTTCGAGAAGCACAGGGCGACGTCTTTCCCAGAGAATACTCCAGTGATCGCTTGGAAGTTTTCATCTTGTCTGGCCCTTCCCCTTCAAGACCGCTCCCTCGTCCGCATTCATGCCGGGGCGCCGCGAGCGGGGGGCAAGAATGATGATTGATGGGGAATGATGAGGAAAAATACAAATGGGGAGGGGGGAGGGGAGGGGGGAGGATGAGAAGGATGAGGCCCCCGCCCCATCATTCCTTAAGTTCCCTCCTCCGGAGGAGGAGGGGGGGCGGGAGAGAGAGGGGGGGTTATGCTTTCGCAGCGCAGGAGGCAACCGTGGACTCTATTCACCAAGCACGATATCGTCGAAAAGGCGATCAAGCAAAGCAGATTATATTTTGCTGTGGCGTCTGCTGCATCTCGCAGTGGGAACTCTGATGGATGGGGCGAGGGCTGCAGCTCTTCGGTCGCTGGCTCTGCTCAGCCTGGGAACGCTTGCCCAGACAGCCCGCTGGCGCCAGCAGCGGCAGCCCAGCCCAGGCCGGCGACGCCGGCCTCTCCAGGCACAGGCCCAGCATCGGCAGCATCGCCGACGCGTGCGCCAGAGAGCCCATCAGCCACATCAGCGCCAGCCACAGCCATTACAAGGGCGCCGGCGCCGACTGTTCCACAGGACAGCCAGCCCACGCAGAACGTCGGGCTGGAGCCAACAGTGAATGCCCAGCACCTGGGCACTGAGCCGCTCGGCCTTGAGCTCCCTGAGCCTCTCGCCGAGCCAGTGGCGCTGGAGCCGTGCTTCCCAGGTGCCCCAGATGCCCCGGAGGCGGCGGCAGCCTTTCCAGACGCGGCGGCGATCTTGCAATGGCAGCCTCTCCAGAATCGCCACGCGAGTGCCATCGTCGACGACATGGGCGATGTCTCAGCCTCTGTGCCGCCTAGCCCCACAGCAGACCCAGCCGTGCCAGACAGCCCAGCCCCAGCAGCAGCGCTAGCCGCGCCATCGGCGCCAACCTCTCCAGAGCAAGCGGCGGCAGCTCTACTTTCCTCAAGGTGCTTGGCCCCCCGAGCCCACGGGGGCAACATGGCGATGTCTGGGGTTGACAGCGCAGCTGACGACGACTTGTTCGAGGAAGCCTTCGCCGACTTCGACGACGGCGCAGCGCCAGTTGACATGCCGCCGATGGCTGGCGCTGATAGCGCAGCTGGCGCGGATTTGGTTGAGGACACAGCTTCTTTCGCCGGCGGCGCGGTGTGCACTAGGAAGAACGCGCTGCCATGGGCGATTGGTGGGCCCAAGAGGCGCAAACTAGAGCGAAGGGTCGTTGAACGGGTCAGGATGCCAAACGAATTGAAGGGCGACGGTGGTGGCGGTCCAGTCGCCGCCGCCGACGACGACGCAGACAGACCTCCAGGGACCGCCATGGACGACTCCCCTGCCAGCCCCCAGGGTCTGCTTGACTGGCCGCAACGAGTTCTGGGCGGAGTAATCAAGCGATGCCCTTTGCCCATAGCTTCCGTCGTGCATCGGATGCGCACCTTGAGGTACAGCACTGCTTTTTCAGGCATTGATGCCCCGGGGGCAGCGTTGCATGGCCTAGCGCATGCGATGTCCAAACTGGGGCACTCCTGCGAGCATCCGAGGCGCACCAGCGCAGTGGAGATTGACAAACATTGTCAGGCCGAATTACTAGAACATCCTGGCGCACCAGAGTGCTTATTTGGAGATATAGTGGGATTCCTCAGCGAGAACATCAATAACAAGCTCAAAGATCTCAAGTCCAATCGAGAATTGACTTTGGACGATCTCTCCACCACCCTCTGGCGCGAGACTGGCAAGATCAGCGGGATGTGCACATGCATTTGCCACGCCACGCCTAGATGCAGGTTCAAAGTTGGCCGCCTGCACATCGCAGGAACGCCGTGCATCGATTTCTCGCCAAAGGGTCTTCGAGCCACCGTCAAGGGCAAGACGCTCAATATCTTCGTGGCGTGGGTGGCGTTGATGAGGTGTTCAGCCCTGGCGTTGATCATGCATGAGAATTCACACCTCTTCAGCGTGGACATATTGCAGGACTCCCTGGGGGACATGTATATCATCTGCGCGACGATCATTTGCCCTTCTAGTCTTGGCTGGCCTGTTCGAAGGCCGCGGCGTTGGGCGCTACTGGCGAGCAAGCAGAAGGTGAACGAGAAGATTTCGACTCTAGACAATGTCATTCAGCTCCTCGGACATCCCCGCAGCTGCACTTGGCGAGCCTTCCTCGTGGCGACCGACTCGGAGATTCTCCAGGAGCTGCAATGGTCGCGTCGCAGGCCTGGTTCGAGGTGGCGCACGGACACTCCAGGCAATGACTACGTCGTGAAGGCTGGCGACCACTTGGCATCTCTTATCGAGAGCGAGGTCAAGTTCTTGGAGGAGTACGCGGAGCTTCCGAATGTGCCTGAGGGCGCTGTTGTCAACCTGACGCAGGACCTCGGACTCTCATCTGTCGTCGCCCTGTCCCCCGGACTCGTTCTGTGTCCAACTTAGAGTTGGGGCCCGTGTCCAACTCAGAGTTTGATGGGCCCTCGGGGGAGGGGGGGGGAGTGGAGAGGGGGGAGGGGAATAGGCCGTGTCCACCAACTTGGAACCCCGAGCCCCGTGTCAAATTCAGAGTCGGACACTTGGCCCCCGGGGATGGCTCTGGCATTCTTGACGTCCACAGAGGATCCGAACAAGCGAGCGGTGTACAGCACGAGCGAGGTGCTGCGCGCGATCACTTGCAAGTGCCTTTCTTTTGCCCCCGTGCAGGGGCGGTGGCTCACGCCCGCAGCTGTTGCTGCTCCAAGGGTTTCCAGTCGTGGCACTGACGAGGGCGCAGGGCCCGTTGCCGCCTGAGCCTCCCTTTTGTAGCTTCACGAATCGCGCCGATGTGTCTGGCCAGAATCGCCGGGCCATTATCAAGCAGGCTGGAAACTCAATGAATGTAAATGTTGCAGGGTGCGTCCTGATGTATGCGCTTGGGTGGACGAGATATGCCGATGTGGCAGGCATTGGGCGAGTGTGAGCGCTGTCGGACTGGACGATCAGCTGTGAGCAATTCTGCGCTTCTTCCTGTGCGCAGCTGTCTGTATGCACTGGCATGTCTGAGCCGTCTCGACAACGTCGAAGTCGGGACTTGCGATCGGCCTGGCCTATCCAAGATACACCGGGCATCTTGCATAAGTGCTTCTTGTTGGGCAGGAGTGAACATGTTTCGTCGCGCCTTCAGGCGGTTGCCCCAGCAGCATAGCATTGCATCCAGTCCTCTCTTCCGACTTTCCTCTTCTTCCTCTCTTGCCCCTCCCCCTCCTCTTCCTTCCCCTCTCCCACCTTCCCGCCCCCGCTCCGCCTCCGCCTCTCCCGAGGAGGAAACATTGCATAAACATTAACTTTCGGACTTCCGCGCAGATTTCTTGGATCGGCGCTGGACTCCCTTCCTTGGCGCGCGGAGCGCGCCAGAGGCGGCGCTCCCGGGGCCGCCCAGCGTGGGCCAGTGAAATCCGCGCGGACTTCCGAGTTTATGTTTATGTTGATTTTTTGTGTTTGGATCATATTATCCCCCCCTGTCCTGGCCGCGCCCCTGCCCCCCGGCGCCCCTCGGAGCCTCGGGCTTCAGCGGCTTCACGGCCGACTCGAACGGGGCCCTGTCGGCCAGCGCCCGGCCCGCCGGGAGCAGGAGGGAGAGGGGGGATAGGATAGAGGAGCGAAGCTAAGAACCACTCCCGCGGGGGAGGGGGCAATTCCCACCATTTGACAATTCTCCCTTTCTCCCTTTAGATCACCCACGTCGATGATGGGGCCGAGAGCTCCAGCACACCCACGCCCAATAGGGGGTCGAGCCGCGCCCATGCTTGGGGTCTTGTTGAATCAATCACCCACGCCATGTTGGGGTCGAGAGCTCCAGGTCACCACCCACGCCCATGTTGGGGTCGAGAGCTCCAGATCACCCGCGCTCATGTATGGGTCAAGAGCTCCGGGTCGCACACGCCATGTTAGGGGTCGAGAGCTGCAGGTCACCCACGCCCATGCGGGGTCGAGAGATATCTCCAGATCGCCCGCGCCCATGTTGGAGTCAAAAGAGCTCCAGATCACCCACGCCATATTGGGGTCGAGAGCTCCGGGGCCCCTCCTCTCCCTTCCCTCGCCGTGGTGGCCTTTTGTTGTCGAGCTTCCAGCGCGGCCTTCTAAGGGAGGTCATCATCTCTAGCGAGACCCCCGTCGTGGAATTCGACCACACAGTGCTGAATCTACCTCGCAGCTCATCAGTAGCGGGATGGCGTCGCAGTCGCAGGCTCCAGCCGACTCCCAGACTTCAGGGTCCTCGCCAGGGGTGCTGGCAGACGGAGTGGCAGCGGGCACGGCGAGCGACAACTCGCCGGACACTCTGAGGCTCGCGTTCGACAAGTCGATCATGAACGTGGAGAAGCGTTTCCCGACTGTCCAGGGTGCTCGGCGGCTGGATCTTTGCAAAAGTCTTTTCGGAGTGCGGACGATGTTGAACGCTACGATTCCTTGGTGCGATCCCACTACCGGCAGGCGCAATTTCGTTCGCCACATGGACGTCAACGATCGAGAACAAAAGGAGACGCTTTCTCAACAAGTCAAAAACATTTTGACGTGGGGAATTGCAAACGATGCTCGCGGCGTGCCCATGCGCCAACTAAGTGAAGGAGACGTACCACCATATCGTTTGTTCTCGTTCGCTCACCTGGCCACCGCCTTTTACCACGCGGCCGAGCATCATCGTGGCAACGAGAATGTCAAAGCGGCTCTTGAGAAAGGCCTTACCAGAGTGCAGGTGTATCAATGCCAGGCGCCTCTCGACGCCTTGGTCTGGATGAAAGATTTCATGAATTTTGATTGGAACCAGAAAGCTGGCATCAACTATGTGGAGACACTGGAGTGGGCGAGAAAGATAACGGCCGACTTGGCCGCACATGAGCACATGAATCCGGGATGGGCTTCTGGCAACGATGAGTCCCGTCGGCAGAAAGTCTGGAAGTGGATCTGCGATAACTACAAGGACCAGGTGAAGCAGGGCATCATCCCTTCGAACGTGTTCTATGAGCTTTGCAGGTTCATCTCCGAGCGGTTCGCCGAGATCGACCAGGCTGATCCGGGCCATGACGGCTTCAAATTTTTTCGATCACTCATGCTTGAAACATGCGTCTTCGGAGATGGTAGGGTCAGGAACTCAAGCGTGCTCGAATGCCTGAAGATACTCCTTACTACGTGGACCAACTTACTCAAAGGCAAGCCGATCAACCAGTGCATCGACCCAGCGGTCCTGCGGATATTGATGGAGGAGTCCTTCAAGTTCTTGGTGCCGACGCTCGCGGACGACCTGGCCGTCGATGTTGCAGATGATGATGGCGGGGGCAAGGTGTTAGACAGAGACGCCGCGAAAGTTTCATGGGTTTTGCAGAAGCCCTCACGGACAACGACTATGAAGAAGATCCTGTTCGCCGACATCTCTGGTGGGAAGTTCTACAAGCGTACCAGAAGTCAATTGACAAGCTGCGCGAGTTAAAACTGGCTGCTCAAAGGAAGGACCAGACCCAGGCCCAGACGCAGGGAGGCGACAAGCCCAACGCCAAGCACTTGACCCAGGACCAGGATGGCAAGCGTCGCAAGCTTACTGGGAAGCAGCCGTCTCTCCCGAAGGATCCAGAGAAGCCGAAGGAGGAGAAGTCTAAGCCTGATGAGAACAAGTCTGAGGAGCAAGGCCAAGACAAGGGCAAGGAGGACAAGAAGGGCGACGCCGGCGCCGGCCGGGGCCGCGGTCGCCGCGGCGGCGGCGCTGGTCGCGGGCAGGCTGCTGGCGGCGCAGTGGAGCTCAAGCACCTGGAGGCCGTGCAGAAGTTGGCCACGGCAGCTGGGATGCGGATTTCCTGGCTCGAGGACGTCATCCTGGCGATGAACGCGGCGGTGTCCGATGCCATGGGCAGCAAGGGCGTCACTTCTGCTATGCGCACTACGGCGACCGAGAATGGCTCGGTGGAGAAGGCCACTGGGAGGAGGAGGAGGAGGAGGAGGAGGAGGAGGAGGAGGAGGAGGAGGAGGAGGAGGGAGGAAGAGGAGGAGGAGGAGGAGGAGGAAAAACACGAGGAGCACAAGGAGGAGGAGGAGGAGGAAGAAGAGGAGGAGAGGAGGGAGGGAAGGAGGGAGGAGAGAGGAGGGAGGAAGTTGGGAGGAGGAGAGGGCAGCCCTCCCTCCCCTCCCCTCGGCCCCCCCCGCCCGGGCGGTCCCGTCCTCTGCTCCCCAGCCAGGCGAAGAGGATGTTCATCAGGATCAGCTTCGAGTTCGCCTGGAACGGCAATGGGGAGGCTTCCTCCTCCTTCCCTCCTCCCCTCGCCCATCGTCCTCACTCCCCTCCTCGGCCCTCCTCCCCTCCCCCCCTCGTCCCTCTCATCTCTGCCCCCCTCTCTACCCTTTCTTATGCCCATCATCCTTATCCCTATATCCGTCCTCATCCGATCCCGCCGTCATCCTTATAATCATCATATTCCCCTCTCCTCCTTTCTCCTCATCCCATGGCCGGTGACCCCCCTCCTTCGTCTCCTCAGTTGATCTTCGAGGGGTCCAGGAAGAGGGTCTCGGGCTGGTGCGCGGTGAGAGATGAGGCCAAGAGGTTGACGACAGACAAGCTCAAGAAAATGTTGATCCCTGACCGTCAGGATTCTTCTGAGGATGCCCAAGATCGTGCCCCCCAGACAGCCATGGAGATTGCCATAGACACGGCGTTCGGAGATGAGCAGTTCTGCGAGACCCTTCGCACCTTCTTGGATGCGAATCCACATGACACGCCCGTGACTTTTTTGCCGTGCTTCATGGAGGTCAGCCAGCAGACTTGGAAGGGCTTCGAGCATGACATGAAGGATGAGATCTACAGGAGGAATGCGAGCAACGTCAAACAGCCGCTCGCTAACATTATCACCTGGATCACCAAGGCGATCTCCAGCGTCGGGCTGCCGACGATGGAGGACGAGTACATGGACCCTATCCCCAAGATTGCGTTCGTCTGGGCTGACGCCGAAGCCTACCCCAACTTCTCCTCGCCAGAGGTGGCAGCGGCGTAAGGGAGAGGAGCCGAAGGGAGGATATGGCCAGGATATGTGACGATGAACTCTGGCGGAGCCCGGGGCCCCACTGGGGCCCAGAGCCATGAAAAAAAGCAAGTTGGTACATGCCTTCATGCTGATGCCCTGGTCTGTTCTCCCTTCGGACTCTTCTCCTTTATACCGATGCCCAGGTGGTTGACGAGCTCCTGGACTTGGAGACTGCGCAGGGCTACCTGTCTCTCCGCGCCAAGCTCATGGCAGAGGTCACCTGCTCCGTGCTGGCCCGTTCCAAGTCCAAGGGCATCTCATGGACGACTTCGCAAGGCGGTGGCGACGCCCTGCAGCCAGAAGCAGTGGATTCCTTGATGTCTGTGCTCAAGGCGGAGGTGCAGAAAGATCTCCTCTTTTCTGAGCTTCAAGTGCTGGACTTGCGAACAGCGGGCCGTGGCCGCTCAGTGTGGATCTCTGTGTGGGCCATGATTCTGGACTCGATCGCGGCTAAGGCCATCGCAGACCCCGAGAAGACGGCAACCGACCCGAAGTTCCTCGAGATGGCGCAGTTGAGCGCCACCGTGCAGACCGTGTTCGGCATCGCGGAGGCCAGCAAGGCAGCCCAGGAGGAGTTCGAGAAGCAGATCGCGGAGCTGGAGGCGGAATCAACTACTACTTCCGCCACCGCCGCCGCCGCCCCCGCCCTGCAGCTTGTGGAGGCGGCGCCGCCGCAGCCCAGCGCGTTGCGCCTGGGAACGCTCTCCGAGCTGATGGGCCACCAGAGCGCCTCCCTGGTGGGAAACTTGAAAGGGGAACGTCTGAGGGCGGCGCAAGCGGTGGCGCACTCCACGTGGGGCGCCACACCTTGCATCCTCAAGCTGCCTGAGCACGAGATCACCGCGGCCTTCGTGAAGCAGTTGGCCACGCACCTGGAGTCGGAGCTGTTCAACTTGGCCTTCCAACCAGAGGACGACATTTTTGAGCACGTGGATGTCGAAGTCTTGCCGCCCTCGGGAGCCGGCGCTGGAAAGGCCCCGGCTGCCACCCTGGTTTCTACGAGGGAGCTCGCAGAGAATTTCACGCTGTACTTCGCTGGCAACGTCGAGCCTACCAGGGGCAAGGCGTCTTCGTTCCACATTGTCACGATCGCTGGGCTTACGCCTGATGGCGAGGACGAGAGCGCCATCCAGATCCCGCTGTTCTTGAACTATAACCCCGCTGAGCATGACATCGCGGGGCCCTGCCCCATCCCCTCGTGGATGGTCGAGACCGTCGAGGACGCAGAGCAGCAGCAGGTGCAGCAGGCGAAGGGGAAAGGGGGCAGGAAGCGCAAGAGCTCGACGGGCTCGACGGGCGCGGAGGCCGCCGCCCCGCCCTCAACCGTGACTCCAATCTTGGCAGTGAACGTCAACATCATCGAGTTCGAGCTCCCAGAGTATCTGTGCAGTGGTCCTGATGGCGACATTTCGAAGGTCCCAGTGCGGGTCTTTTATCTGGGACCCACGGCGCACGCCCTTTGCCAGAAGGCGCCCCTGAAATTGAACAGGGCCGTGATCCCAGGTGAAAAGGCTGAGAAGAGCAAGGGCAAGGGCAAGGGCAAGGACTCCAAGGGTGCCGTCAAGTCTTCGAGCGACGTCATCGGCGGTCTCGGCATGGCTGCAAGGTACGATGAGGTGCTGACGGCGAAGTCAGCGGCAACCGACACCGGCGCCAACCAGAGCCAGACCACGCCGCAGGTGACCGCGTTGGAGAAGGCGATGGAGGGCGTCTCCAAGTGCGACTACCTGCACCTGCTGAAGTAGGCCTGGCGGCCCGGCCACGCAGTCAGAGTAGATTCTTACGTGGAGGAATGGATGACAAGGAGGGTCAGGGTCAGGGGAGGAGGAAGAGGTAGCCCGGGACAGGAATGAGGAAGAGGAGGGGAGCGCAGGAGAAGGAAGAGGATGAGGAGGAGAAGGAGGAGGATAAGAAGGAGGAGGAGGAGGTAGGACGGAGGTCGCATCACTCGTAGGTAAGTTTGTGTATTTTTTGAGTTGCGTGGTAACTCACGGCTCAGAGAGCTGGGGTGCGGACTGTACAAGACTCGACCCCTTTTGGCCCCCAGCCCTCCTCTAGTCTTGAATGGGAGGGTTCGATGCGCACTGCGACGATTGATCAGCCTCGGTGCATCGCGGCCCTGATGCTGCCCACTAGTGGGCAACGGCACGAGACGCTCCGTGGCCGATCAAACGGCGAAGTGCACATCGATCCCTCACGGAACGCGTGTGGACGGCTGCTGCTCACGATGCCGCTCGTGCGTGGCGCTCTGCTCTGGATAACTCCTCCTCATCCTTCTCTCTCCTGCTGCTCTTCTCTGTCACTCGTCCTCCTCCTTCTCCCTCCTGCTGCTCTTCCTCCCCCCTCGTCTCTTCTCTTGTCAGTGCTCCTCGACCTCCTCCTCCTCCTTCTTCTCGCTGTTACTTCCCCCATTCATCCTCATCCCGTCGTTGGCCCCCCGCGGTGGCCTCATCGCCGCAGCCGCAGCCCGCGGCCCGCGAGGCGCCGCCGCCGCCCGGGGGGGGCAGCCGCTCGGGCCGAAGCCGAGAGGGAGGAGGGAGAAGGAGAAAGAAGGTGGAGGGGGAAGACGAGGAGGAGGAGGAGGAGGAGGAGGAGGAGGAGGGTCGGCCGTCGGCCGTTTACACCAGGAGAGCGAATAAGAGGAAGTAGGAGGAGGAGGAGGAGGAGGAGGAGGAGGAGGAGGAGGAGGAGGAGGAGGACAGGAGGAGGAGGAGGAGGAGAAGGAGGAGGAGGAGGAGGAGGAGGAGGAGGAGGAAGAGGAGGAGGAGGAGGATGAGGAGGAGGAGGAATGAGGAGGGGAGGAAGAGGAGAGAGAGGAAGGATGGGGGAGGCGGAGGAGAATGAGAAAGGCAAGGGAGGACAGAGGAGGAGGGGGAGGGAAGAGGGCGAACCTCCGCTTGAATGCGACATTCCGCCTCCATCAGTTGTGGACTTACTAACCTGAGGCTGGCCTGCTTGCCCCATCCATTTCGGGGTGCCCCTGGGCTCTCGGGCCTGCGACTCGCCCGTGGTCGCCGCCCCCGCCCGCTCGGGGTCGACGGACGCTCGGTCCTCCCCCACGCCGCTTCCCCCAGGGTCGACCTGTACCCCTGGCTTGGGCGCCGCCGCTTCCAGTTCTGGACGTAGCCTTTTTCGCTGGCTCGTCGCCTTCGCTGCCGTTGTGTTGCCTTGGCGTCGCTTCTCCTGCTCCCCCGCCGTGGTGGCGCTTCCGCCGCTGGCACGCTCCCCCTCTTGGCGATCCGGTACTCTTCCGTTGAGCGCTTGCACGCCCGTTCGTCGTCTTCGTGTACGTGGACTGCATGAATTTCGCCATTTCGGTGCTGCACCTCGACCAGTGACTCCGCTAGGTCCACCGCGTCTCTTGAGCCGCAGCGTAGTTCGCTCCTGTGCGCTCTCGTGCTGAATTTAGTCCGCTGCTCGTTAGCCGCGTTTCTTGACGGCGCCTGGCATTCCTGCGCGCTGGCGAAAAAACGATCGGAGGCTTGCATGAGGCCTCTTGGAGGCTATCTTGAGCCATATTCGGTTAGAGGTCGTTGGAAGCCATCCTGAGCTTCGGGGCTCTCTGAAGCCCCCCTGTGTTGGGCCTCTTGGGCCACTTTTTGGGCCCTCTTGGGGTTCATTCGAAGGATTCGAGGGCCCTCCTGGTTTTTTTTTGGATTGGTCTGGGAAGCCTCTTGGGCCCCGCTCCCCAAACAGAAGGGGGGGGGTCACATTCAGCCCCCCCCCCCCCCCCCCCCCCCCCCTCCTGATGCTAAAAAGAGCGTGTTGGGGCCCTCATGTGGCGTTTTGGAGCGTTCTTGGGCGCTTTGTGGAGCCCTCTTGGGGCCCTTTTGGGATCTTTTGGTGCTTTCTTGGGCCGTCTGGGGGCCATTCTGGGGCTTCAAAAGCCCACCGGAAGCGAAAGGGCGGGAAGGCAAATAACATTGATTTCCCATAGGTTTTGAAGGATTTTGAAGGGCACTGGAAACCCTTTTTTGGGCCGTCTTGCGGCCTCCTGGATGTGTGTCGGAGGCTATTTTGAATCATATTGAGGCCTCTCGAGCCAGCTCGGAGGCCATCTTGAGCTCTCTGAGGCCCTCTGGGGGCCATCTTGGGTTATTTCGGCGCTCCAACTACCCGGTCCGCCTCCTTTCCCAGGCCCAGTGGAAGGGGCATGGGGGCATGGGGGGGAGACAAGACACCTTCCTAGGTAACAAGCCGTCTAGCTCATTCCCACCCGCCCTCCAAACACATAAGTAACACCCGAGCCTGAGCATGTCAGCGGTCGTCTTTGGATGGGCGGCAGCTGGTGGGAACCAAAACCGATCCCACGTGCGCGACGCTGGGGCTATTTGCGAAAGGCGTGCCAGGCGCGCCACGCGCGCCAGGCATCCTTTGTGCCCGAGCGTGCCAGGCACGCCTGGTGCGCCGGATGCACTACGTGCTCGACATGCGCCAGGTGTGCCGCATGTTCCAGCCGCGCCAGGTACACCACGTTCGGGGTACGTGCAGAGCGTGTCAGATGCGCCAGCGCACGTGACAGCACACGTCGGGGAACGTGCCTGCACCCACCATCCCTGTCGAAACCAATACCCATCATAGTGTTTGGTGGGCCTGCACGCAGCAGGCCATGCGCCACCATCCCCGCCGCTTCTGTCAAAAACCACTTCGTGATGAAACCCCCCTCCCGCGCAGGGGAAGCAGGGGTTGTGGCGGAGAGAAGACAAAGTTTGTCAAACCACCTACGCCAGAGGGCTGGTGGGATATGCGGAGAACCCCGCTGTGCTGCCCCCCCGCAGCCCTCGAAAGTGGAGCCATTTCCACACTTCGCACCTCCCCAGGAACGGCGAGGTCCAATTATGTGCAGGCCCTGGCTGTGCTGCCCCCCCACCCCCCCAGCAGCCTTCAAACGTGAAGACAGCTTCGCACTTCGCGGCCCCCCCAGGGATGGCGAGGCCGAATCTGAATGTGTGCAGGCCCCCTGCTGCCCCCCCCCCCTACCCCCTAGGCAGCCCTCGGACGTGGAGCCAGCTTCCCCCGCAACCCCCGAGGTTGGCAAAGTCTAATCTGGATCTGCGCAGGCCCTGACGCGGCTGCCCCCCCCCCCAGCAGCCGCCCTCGAAAGTGGTGACAATCTTTTGCGCTGCGCAGCCCCCCAGGGATGGCGATGTCGAATCTGAACCTGCGTGGGCCCCGGTGGTGCTGCCCCCCCCCACCCCCCTCAAAGCAGCCACCGAAGCCGGGTGCAATTCTACATTTCCCAGCTTCCCAGGGATGCCGAGATACAATCTGAATCTGTGCAGGTTCCGACCATGCCCCCCAGCAGCTTTCGGGAGTGGGGACGGTTTCGCACCTCGCAGCCCCCCGGGGATGGCGAGGTCTAATCTGAATCTGCGCAGGCCCCGACTGTGCTGCCCCCCCAGCAGCCTTCTGAAGTGAGGACAGTTTCGCACTTCGCAGCTTCCCAGGAATGGCGAGGTTTCATTTGAAACTGCGTAGGCACTGATTGTGCTCCCCCCCAGCAGCCGTCGAACGTGGGGGAAGTTTCAAATTTTGGCGCCCCTCAAGCCGCCCTCGACAGTGCGGACAGTTTCACACTTCGCGGCCCCCCCAGGGATGACGAGGTCTAATCTGAATCTGCGTAGGCCCCCACTATGGCGTCCCCCTCAAGCAGCCCTCGAAAGTGAGGACAATTTCACACCTCGCAGCCCCACAGGGATGGCGAGGCAAGAGGCAGGCTGACAGGACAGGGCCAGGTAAGAGGCAGAAGGGAAGTTAAGGAGGGAGGCGGGAGGAGAAGACGCTACCCTGTGCGTTATTCAAAACGAGAACAACCCATGAGGGCTGATAATAAAACACAATCTCGTGAGCTGTCCCACTTCGGTCAAAGGCTTCCGACAACGTCAATTGGGTGTTTTTGTTTCTGCGTTTTGCCTTTCGACGGCCCGTCGTGTTCCTGATTCGAGTGTCACAGACCCTCTCTCGAGAGCTCAGTTTCATGCGTATGCCTTGCGTGCCAAGCTGGTCGCCAGCTCGTCGCGTCCGCTCACTCTCGTGTGACGTCTCGTCTTGGTCGCCGCTCGTGGCTCAAGGCCTACTGGACGCCGAGCCGCCGCATTCCAACCTTCGTCCACAGCCCGAACGCGTGCGAGCGGGCAAGCCGTGGCTGTCAAGGGGGAGTGCCGATTCAGATGTCGGCGGCGGTCGGCGCGATGGCGCAGACGAATGGGCAGGGGGGCTCAATCGCCCTCGTTAGCACGCCGTTGCGGATGAGGTCGAAGGGGGGGGGAGACGCTGTTTTCCTCCTCAGCACAGAACCATCAGGGCCGGCCGCCGAGGCGGTAGCGCAGAAGGAGTGGCCGTTGTGGCGGCTGAGCCTCGTCGCGCTTCCGTGCATGTCGGTCACGGTCGTGCGGTCGGTCACCACGTCGTGCAGCGCCCCCTACCTGGTGGGGCTCGGGATGAGACCCGCATGGGCCACCCTCAACAACATAGCGGGCCCGACCTGCGGCTTCTTCACTTGCCCGCTGGTGGGCGCGCTGTCCGACTCGTCGACCTCTCCCTACGGGCGAAGGAGGCCCATCATCGTGGCCGCGCTCGGCGCCTTGTGGGTGTCTGGGCTCCTCTTCGCCTCCAGCCCAGCGCTGGTGCCCGCCGGCGCGGCCGCGGGCTTTGCGGCCTGCATGTTGTGGCTGACCGACATCGCGCTCAACGCGCTGCAGACACCCATGCGGGCGCTGGTGGCGGACCTCGCGTCGAGCGGTCAGCAGGTGCAGGTGCAGGTGCTGGTCAGCTGCTTCCAGGCGGTCGGATCCCTAGTCGGCTTCTCCATCATGAAGGAATACGGCAGCAACGACAGCCTCTCGGAGCACATGCTCGAGATCATGGCCGTGGTGTGCTGCATTGTTACGGTGGCGGTCGCCGTCATGCTCTGTGCGGCCACGGAGACGCAGCTGGCGGGGGACCGCGCCGCTAGGCAGTGCAGCCCCGTCTCGGACGTGTTTGAGGCAGTGCGGGGGAGTTCCACGCTGCTGCGGCACCTGGCCGGCGTGCACTGCCTGGTGTTCGTCGGAGCGACGGTGTGGTTCTCGTACTCCGTGCAGTGGTTCGGCCTCTGCGTGTTCGCGGGCGATCCCGCCGCGCCCCCGGGCTCCGCGGCCCATCGCTTGTACGCCTCAGGCCAAGAGGCGTTCGCGTACGCGGGGCAGTGCGGGTCGTGGCTGATGCTGCTCATGACCCTGCTCCTCGTCGTCGCCCTCCACCGGACCACGCTGCCCCCCAAGGGCGCCTACGCCGCCTGCATCTTCGTCGGGGCGGGCACCAGCTTCGCGGCCGCGTTCTTCGTGAACCACAACGCCACCTTCGCGACGGCCTGCATGGCGCTGTCGGTGCTGCCCTGCGTCGGCGCGCACGGCATCCCCTGGGGCCTCATCGCCGCCAGCAACAAGGCTGCCGAGGAGCAGGGGCTCCCCGTCAGCACCGCGATGCAGATGGCCCTGCTGAACTGCGGCCTCGTGATCGGCCAGCAGCTCACCCACATGACGCTCGCGGCGCTGGAGAGCTTCGTGGCGCCCACGCTGGCGCTCCCCGCCATGCTGGCCGCCGGCGCGCTGGCTCTGACCGCGGCGGGCGCTGGCGCGCTCCTGCTCCCGAGCGGCGCCGAGGAGTGCGGCGCGCTGGGCGCGGGCGGGCGCGCTGGCGAAGCGGACCCGGAGCGCCACGGCGCCGGCCTCTGACGCGCAGAAGGGCGCGCGCAGGAGCGCAAGAGAGCGCGAGAGCGCGGGAGAGAGCCCGATGGAGAGCCCGAGGGCGCGAGAGCGCAAAGGGGTCGGGGCGGGCACGGCGCCCCTCCCGCAGGGCGGCAGGCCACGCTCGGGGGCAGCGACGTCCTTCCCCCGTCGCAGGGGCTCGCTCCCTCCGCCCGCGCCCCCCGCCAGCCGAGTGGCTTCGGCCGCCCTCTGCCGCGCGCGCTCCCTCGCCGGGCCAGGGAGGTGGGCGATGGTGGCCGTCATCAGAGAGCCCACCTCCTGGGCCTCTGAGGAGGGCCCATGGTTCCTCTGTGGTATTACATGTTTCCCATCGCCACCAGGGCGTGGGAGCAGGCTGTCAAAGGCTGGCCCGGATGCTGAAGACATTCCGTGCCGGGGCCCACTCTTCGTCTTTTCCATCGCAGCAGTTGCGGTCAGGTTGCGAGCTTGTGTGGTTGGAACCATCGCCGCTACCTTTGACCCGTCAGCATTTCGTTCTGCACGCACATCTCGGATTGTCTGTGATTCATCGCCCAGTCGAATTGAAAAAACAAGTGGGTCGTTTTGCAAGTCGCATCATGGATGAACGATCGCCTCTGCATCCAATTGGTCCGATGAGGTCCATCGACCTGAGCTGAGCCAACTCTCTTGTCCGTTCTACTCTCCTCCCATCGGCGTCACCCGTGGCAATCTTGCAGTTGTAAGTATTTTGTACATGTATGTGGGTGGCGAGAGTGGCCCAACTATTGCGAAGGCCTTGCGGCCAGTGCCGCCGACCCAGAAAGACGACCACCACGACGACCACGACCACGACCAGTTGGTGACCCTGGCACAGGCTCGGGACATGGGGCGGGCGGTGTAGGGAGGAGGAGGAGGTGGAGGAGGAGGCGGATTAGAAGGAGGAGGAGGACGGGGGGAGGAGGAGGGTGACGGGGGGAGGAGGGGACGAAAGAGGAGAGGAGGAGGAGGAGGAGGAGGAGGAGGAGGAGGAGGAGGAGGAGGAGGAGGGTGCAGGAGCTTCTTCGCTCGAATTTTCTCTCCGTTCGCCCGGTGGTGGGGCAGGGGGCGTGCTCGCACCCTGCAGGCGTTCCCGTCTGGCTTTTCTCGCCTCTGCCCGTCTGCGTCTGATCGGGTGTGGGCCTGCTCTCCCTGCCGGGCGAGCGGGGAGACAGCATTGCGCACTCTTGAGTCGGGCATGTCCCTCCACAGGAGGAAAATTCAAGAGTAGACAAACAATAGTCAGGGGACGACGTTTCGACTACGCTTGACTATTTAGGAATACTCGTGTGTATTAAAAGACATCCTCCAAATGTGCCTGTAGAAGGACATGCCCGACCTAAGCACACTTGCGAGATTGACTCCCTGGGGGACGCCGCAGCTCTTGCTCCACGTCTGAGTCTCGTCGGCGTCGGAGCGCGCGCGAGCGCGCGTCGCCTCGTGCGAGCTCCCGCCCCACAGGTGAGGGCAATCGTTCCGCCAGGTCCGCCACCGTGCCGGAAGTGGGCACCGTGTGCAGAGTACGCATGGCACCACGATGCTTCAGAGGGGGGGCGTCAAGCCCATTCTTGTGTAGATAGGACGACCAGCGCACGACGACCAGTCACGGACGGTCCATGTTTTCCAGCGGATATTTGGCGCCTCGCTTGTGTGGTGAGGCATCCATCGCCGTGGGCCTCTGGCCTCTCGGGCATCTCCTCGAGTGCTCTTTGCGGTGTCGCTCATTTCCAGGGCTCCCGCCACCCCCGTGCGGGGGTCCCTGTCGGCGGGCACGGACCGCCAGGGCCCAGGAGGTAGCCATATACGGTATAGTTCGTGGCTCTCCTGGGGGCCTGGACCAGCCGTGCCCCTCAACGGAGTCATCGGTCTTGCGCTCTCAGGTTAGGCCTCCACGCGCCCCCACCCCTGGGGTCGCGCACAAAAGTCGGAAACTGGAACGTATACATTACCAGTGGCGGGCTGTTTCTCAATCCCAGGACTTTTTTTACGGTCGGGGACGACGTCGGGGTGGTGTGGTGTATTCTTTTTCCGTCTTCCCGGGGGAGATCCGCTTTCCTGTGCGGATTTCAGTGCGGGCCGGAAAACACGTCGGTGTATAGAGTTCAGCTCCTTATAATTAGAGGCTCCCTCTTGCGTGTGGCCGAAGGTCGGCCTGGCCGAGCTCCGCGTGGCCGAGCTCGGCGTCATGGCCGGGGCGCGCCAGCCTTGCCGCCCACTCGGAGGGCCGCCCCCCTTCGCGCTTACCCCCCCCTTGTGGGCTGCCGCTGCTCATTCAGCATGATACTGCCCCGAACCCCAATAGCCTCAGCTGCCTCGATGCGCCCGCCCCAGAGATGCAACGTATTGACAAAAATCAGGACGGAGTTTTTTCGCAAATTTCGGCCCCTGGGGGCTCTCGCCGGGCCTCGGGACAGTCAAAAAACGACTCGGGATATAAAGCTGGTCCTGGGGAATGGGTCGAGACTTCCGGACACGCTGCATGTTGGCTCGGCACGTGCTGCCCTACGTGTTGAGCTCCGTATCAATACGCTACGTGTTGCGTGTTGCGTATCGGGGCCGCGAAGCATCACTCTACCCCTAACCCTAATAACACAGTGAATTCGTAATGTAACTTAGGTCCCCGGTTTCAGGGATATCTCCAAGCCGATGTGTGGCTGTTTTTGACACATTTGCAAAAGGAGAGACCCCATGCCCCTCATGTTCCTGGTCCTCCTCATCAAAGGGTCAGGGCTACTTTTAGTGCCTGTCAGCTGCCGCCCCCCCCCCCCCGCGCGCCCGCCCCAGGATCTGCGGAAGCTGGACGGCGGGCCGGGCCCACGGGCGGGGCCCAGCGCGAGTGCGGAGCTGCAGGAGCCCCTGCGCTCTGCCGGGAGGGCTTTCGCGCCGCTGCACCTCAGAGGAGGGCGAGTGCAGGCAACGGTGATCGGCCTCTGTGGGACCCCTCGTCGCCATGGCTGGACGCGGCTCGAAAAACTGGTGCGCTTGAACCCGGTCCGGAGACCGATTTTGAGTTGTCGTCGTCTCAATTCGCCCTGCTCCGAGCATCATCGGACGGGGCCAGGACGAGGATAAATCCGTTCCAGAGCGTTCTGGAGCGCTCTCAGAGCGTTCTGGAACGCTCTGAGAAGGCCGCGGCGCCCGAGACATCCTCCGGAGCCGCCAGATCTCAGAGATTCTCGATTTATCCTCACCCGAATTCATCTACGTCCTGGTTTCGTCTTACATCAGGATCCGAAGGGGGTGACACTGGGCGTCGGAAGCTCAGAGGTGGACACCAACACCAATGGATCGGCAGTGTGCCTCCACCGAGGGGAGATGCTCCCGATCTCGGCGATGGTGGTGATATTTGAGATTCCTCGGTGTCCGATTCATTACCAAGGTCGAGTCCCTTCTTCGCCAGGCGCCCGCCTCCGAGCGACGCTGCCCCGCGCAGCGTGCGCGTCCTCGGGCTGCGGTGGGCCCGGCCGCCGCGCCAGCCCCCGCAGCCTGCCACTGCGTTGGTCTGGCTGGCTCTCGAGCGCTCGCGCGCGCTGCGGGGAGCGAGGGGGGATCAGATGCCCCTGGGGGAGGCAGCCCCCTGTGTCTCTGGCTTCGCGTTTTTCTGTGATATGTATACATACATCTAACTAAAGGTATATGTTTATAGTTACATTTACATAATATACGTACACATGTATAGTTATATCGTATCGGTATATCGCATGTGTGTGTGTCCCTTGTTCGTAGTTTCTGTTGGTGGCTAAGTTGTGTTTGTTGTGGCTCGGCTCTGAAATCACAATTGGTATATGTTGCCAGTGTTTCGGCGAACGTGATGTCTCAGTGCGTCCCCATTCAAAAGCAACGCTGTCGGGGATGGCGCAGAATGTCCTGCCACTTCCGGTGCCCACCAAGGGCCGACATCATGCGCGACTGCCTGGCCGATCCCAAACGCTCGGAACTTCACACATGGGGCCCTGAGGGATGGGGACCTGAAGGTGCGAAAGGATCCAGGGGTGGATTTCGATTGTTTTGAGGCACCTCGTCCTCAGGGCCCTCGGGGCCCCATCGTGGAAACACCAAGTTTTGATGACGTATCGCTTTTGCTCCCACCGCCTTTCTCGCCGGCAGGCCCGCCGCCCTTTTGCTCCCGTCGGTCCTCCGTTGGGGGCGAGGCGACGCGAAAACGAGGCCATTGAGGAGATTGCCGGGCGGAGCCGCGCTGCGACGGTGGATGCGCAGTGCGCGGGGCTCCCAGATCATGGCTGGCCCCGCAGCAACCTGAGAGCGCCATGGTTCGAAGAAGAATGACCAGCATAAACATAGTTAAAGCTTCGACTGTGCGAGCTGATTTCGTGGATTTGCGCGCGAGCCTCCCAGCGGCGCCTCCAGCGCCGCCCCCGGCGCGGATCCAAGAAATCCTGGCGGACCATCGAAAACGTATATTTTTGTTGCTTTTCTTACTTTGATTGCCCAGCCTTTCAGAACCCCCCGTGTTCACGATTGCTTGGGGCGGCGCGTTCAATGCCGCCATGATGTTCGTGGCCCAGGGAAAGGCCCTCGCCCGTCCGATCGCCACGTCGGGGCAGCTTTGTCGCACCCCTCGAGCAGGTGAGAGCAGCGCTGGGCAGATGGCTGGGCCCTCACGGGCTCACCCTTGCCAGGTCGCGGCGCCCTGCTTTTCGCGCTCGGTGGAAGTCGGGGAAGAGCGTGTTTTTGTTTTCGGCCCGCCTGCGGTTTCCCCCCCTTTCCTTTCGCGCCGTTCCTTTTTTTTCCTGTGTCATTTTCTTGCGCGGTCGAGGTCGCGTCTCGCCCGCGCTGTGCTTCCCAGGCGTCAACGTCGAAGTGTTCAAGATTGACTGGCTGCGCACCGTGGACCAAAGGGGTTGGTCGGTCTTTGCCGGCGCGTTGCCGTGGTGCAGATTGAGGAAGCAATTGCAGTGCATTCGGGCGCGTGCGGCGATTCACCCAGACGCATTACGACGCGAATGACACGCCCGACAGGCCGCGTGTCCTGTCCGAGCGCGCCGCGAACGCCAAGACGCAGCATAACCAGAGAATTCGCGGCCAGGCGGTCGGGTCGTTCAGAAGCACGGGGTCGCATGATGACAGGAAGCCGCTAGGACCTACATCGTTGAAACAAAATGCTGAGGTGGCGTGATGCGACGGTCGACTTGCCAATCCGTTTGGGTATTTCTCACGTGAACAGGAGACTCGCGCGGAACAGTTCGGCTTCCTCCAGTAGCTTACACGGCGGCTATATGAACATAGGATCGGGAAATACTTCGCCGAACCTTTCATGAACAATGGGGCTGGATGCAGGCTCGTGCTCAAACATTTCAGTTCCGCCCGCTCCGCCTATCCTGCCAGTCGTGAATCGCGTCTTCTCGAGTCCACACACGATTGTTTTTTCTATCATGGCCGATGCATTGCGATTCTGGGAGTGCCATGCGCGATTCCGCGCTGGATGCGCTGCGGCAGTTGCGCTTCTGCAGCCGTTCGTTGTTCGCAGCGGCTGCGTCTTCGTATGTGAGCTGTTTGCCCGATTCCGCAGGCAGGTTCGCGGCCTCGCTTTTCGCTCTTCAAGCGCTGCAGCTGGGAACGGGCGCGCGAAGCTGGGGCGCAGTTCTCCCCGCTGTGGCCTGCCCCGGGGGGCAGCCGTCGCCGCGCGGAACATACAGTGGCGATGATTTCGGGGGCACCACGGGGCACGTTGCGAAGACCCGCGGCTCCATGGTCGCGGCGGCAGGCTTCTCCCGATCGGTCGTCGCATGCGCCAGCGCGCCGCCGACGGCGGGCCCGGCACGAGATCCACACGCGCGAACAGAAAACAATATGGTTAGCAGCAGAATGGTGCAGGAATGAGAAGGAGGCGACGCTTCTTGCTTTGCTAGGCTACGCCCCTCTGCTGCGGGAGGCCGCGCATCTTTCCTCCAATGTTGCCACGTCGGATATGGGCGTTTAACGACGGGCGCTTTGGGTTAGAAAACGGGTGTTCACGGGAGGCACACGCGTCACCAAACAAGAGCGACGCCAGAGGTGAATGTCTTTTTCATCATCGTCTTCGTCGCCATCGCCGTGTTCTTTTGTTGAGAACCAGTTCGGGATCAGGATATGGGCGCATTTCTGGATCAGTTTCCCAGTCCAGGCTGGGCTGTGGCCGCGAGACCCGCCAAAAACCCCATCGACACAACCTTTGGTGTAGCGACCAGCGACGCCGTCGACGTTGTCGTCGCTTCTAAATTCGCGATGGCTTGATTTTATGAATCCGCGGGCCTCGGGGATCTCGGCCCTCTTGCTAGGAAGCAGCCTCTCGCCGCGGATCCATGCATGATGGCCCGCGGACCCGAAACGACAATGCACCCCCGCCCAGGTCGGAAACATCCACAAATCAGTCGGCGGAGGGCGAGGAGGATGAGGAGGAGGAGGAGGAGGAGTAGGAGGAGGAAGAAGAGGAGGAGGATAAGGAGGAGGACGGAGAGGAGGAGGAGCAATCATTTTGATATTGCTCGTTCCCTTTTGCTCGCGTGTCATTGAACATGTCACACGCACGCTCTCGATCCCCGCCCCCCTCGTCTTCGATCGTGCCCCTCTGGGGGTTCTTTCTGCCTCCACTGCCACGCGTAAGTGGCGCGGCCCGCAGACTAGAGATAACAGAGATGATGAGAACGAGTGGGAGCGAGGATGGCAGAAGTGGAGGAAGGGAGGGTGAGGGGAAGCAGGCAGAAGGGACGAGAGGGATCAGCGAGGAGGAGCAGCAGGAGGAGGCAGCAGTGAGATCTCGGGTGAGAGCACGCTTCCGAAGTAGACATTCGGAGGACGTCCCGAGCGAGAGCGCGGTTCCAGAGCGCCGGGAGAGCGATTCGTGTCAGGAGGTCTCAGGCGAGAGCGCGATGCGCGATGCCTGGATAAATTGTAAGGGAGTCTCTAACGAAAGCCAGATTTCTGAGAATGATGTGAGGAAGCATCTGGCGCGAGCAGATGTTGTGGCAAATTTGGGACCAACAGCACATTCTGAGGCGCATGACTTTCCTTCGTAGAAAAACAGGGTGCGAACCCCGGGAGGGGCACTTCGATGCAAGCAAACACACGGTGCACTGGAGGGGAGATCAACAGTAATTCATTGTGCCGAGATAGGAATCCAATACAATGTCTGACATTCAACACAAGGAAACCTTTCTAGATCCCACATCCTCCTTTTCCCCCTGACGTCATCGTTTGTTTCACAGCGCCGGCCTCATGGAGCCCTTCCGCGAGGGCCGCTTTCCATCCGGGGGCAGTCGTCGTGGTAGGTGGCCCGGAGACGACATCCAGAGGCCGAGAACTCATAACGATATCAGATTTCTGTTCGAGGCTCTGGAGATCTCTGCTCGAGGCAGTTGGCCCTCGGGGTGGAGAAGCGACTCGGGCACAGGAGCGAAAAGGAAAAAGCGGAGGAAGCAAATGGGGGGGGAGCCCGCTCGGACCACGAAGGCCGGCGCGAGGGTGCTGAAGAAGAGCATGCAGCTGAGGGACAGCGAGCCACGCTCCTCCACCCTGGGGTCCCCCCCTCCGTCCCCACCCCGAGGTGAGCATCGTTTCACCGATCCCCATCCCCAGCGGCGTAGCCTGGGCCCCACTGGCCGATCTACCCTCCTAGATGGGGATAGGCCGTTCCCTTCGGGTTTCGAGGGGTGCATCCCCAGCTGGGGTGGTAATTTGGTGGGGGAAACGGTTGGGGCATTCGATGAGGAATGTGCCCAGGAGGCTTCAGACCCTGGAGGGTTCCGTGTCTGATGAGGGCGGCAGTGACACCCATGGCACGTCCACGATTGAATTTCCATAGTTTCCAGACCTTGGATTCCTTATCCAATGTTTCCATATCGAATGCCATCTCCGTATCAAACGATTGGCGCTATCGGAGAGCCCTGGTCATCCTAGCACGCGGTTTTAGGACCCAGCGCTGGAATCGTCACGCGACGAATTTTCGGAATATGCGGAGGAGGGCGGCACGAGGAGGAGGAGGAGGAGAAGCAGGATTCTCCTCGAATTCTCGAGGAACGCGCTTCGTGGCCTCAGAGACAGTTTCTCTTTGGGATCCATATGTTTGACTGCCCCTTGGAAGCCGACGCCGAAGATCGTCCTCGTCCTCGTCCTCGTCCTCGTCCGGGGCTGCTGCGGGAGGCGCGGCCGGCGGCAGCGGCGTCGGCGTCGGCAGGACGTCGGCGTCGTCGTCGTCGTCGTCGTCAGCTTCGTCGTCGTCGTCCTCGTCCTCGTCCTCGTCGTCGTCGTCGTCGCCGCCGTCGTCGTCGCCTTAGAGGGCGCCTCGCCAGGACACGGAGCGGCGGCTGCGGGCCGCAGTGCGGCGCTCCGAGGCGGAGGCCGACCAGGAGCGCGCGGGGCTGCTGCGGGAGGCGCGGCCGGCGGCAGCGGCGTCGGCGTCGGCAGGTCGTCGGCGTCGTCGTCGTCGGTGTCGTCGTCGGCGGCGTCGTCGTCGTCCTCCTCCTCCTCCTCCTCCTCCTCCTCCTCCTCCTCCTCCTCCTCCTCCTCCTCCTCCTCCCCCTCCCCCTCCCCCTCCCCCTCCTCCTCCCCCTCCTCCTCCTCCTCCGCCTCCTCATCCTCCTCCTCCTCTCCTTCCCCTCCGAGTCGGCAGTGCGTCAGCGCTGCTGTCGTCGTCGTCGTTGTCGTCGCCGGCGGCGGCGGCGGCGGCGGCGTCGGCGTCGGCGGCGGCGGCGGTGCGTCGGCGTCGGTGCGTCGTCGTCGGCGGCACGTCTTCGTTGCCGTTCTCGCGGGGCGGCGTCGTCGCCCGCGTCGTCGGCGTCAGGGGATGGGAAGAGGGGAGGGGGAGGAGGAGGAGGAGGAGGAGGAGGAGGAGGAGGAGGAGGAGGAGGAGGAGGAGGAGGAGGAGGACGAGGAGGACGAGGGGGGCGAGGAGGAATACTTGGGTTGAAATAGGAGGAGGGGGGAGGAGGAGGAGGAGGAGGAGGAGGAGGAGGAGGAGGAGGACGACGACGAGGACGAGGACGAGGAGGAGGAGGAGAAAGACGAGGAGGAGGATGAGGAGGAGGAGGAGGAGGCCGAAGGGGGACCTACTTCCTCATCCCCTTCCCTCTGGCCCCCCTCCCTCTTTTTGCTGCAACCCTGAAGACGGGCACGTCCCTCTACAGGGGAAATATTTCAAAATAGTTAAAAAGTCGGGGGATGATTATTTGAGTATTTGTTTGACTATTTGGGGGCATGGTTTGAGTATGTTTTGATGCTTCATTCAAAACCCGCCTGTAGGGGGGCATGCTCGACCTAATGCTATCCCCTTTTCTCCTCCCCCTCCCTCATCCCCCCCCTCCTTCCCCCAAGGGACGGGAAAGATGGGAGGTCCACATTTGGACACTATGAGGATCGTGGATGCTCGTCAGTCCCGCCGCACCTTCGAATATCGATGACCTGTTGGTATCTACCGTACTCCTGCCGTTTGTGTAGGCAGTGGATCTTCTCAACTCTTCCCCCTCGTCACCGCGTATGCCTGTCTAGCTCAAGACTTAGTCGAGCTCCGAAGTCCTAGTCCCGACTCGTCTGAAGCTCACGAAGTCCCTTGTATACACCATGAATTTCCTTCAGCTTCCGCACAGCAGCTGATCTAACCTCTTGGGTGCTCAGCTCATGCTTCAGCAGATGGAAGGCCCCCCTGGCTCCTCGAGCAACTCAGACTGACATGGGGTCAAGGGCCGCCACGAAGGCCCGACGGTATTCGCGGTTCGCGATCCGCGATTCCTCATCCTCATCCCTGTCCTCCACTTCTCCCCGCGGGTGGGGGGGGCGGCGGCGCCAGACCGCGGGGCTGCTCGCGAACCGCGAAGCGCGAACGTAGCTGCCCTTGCGCATGTGGCCTGGCAGGCACCTGCACCCGCTCTGGCGGTGAGGGCCGCGCTCACCACGGGGCCGCCACAGTGGCCGGCCTGGCCGCGAGGCCCAGGGCCGCGCCCTGCACAGGAGGCGGCTGCAGCGCCGGGCTCGACGGGCGAGAGGCACCCGGGGCACCCCGGGCCGCCGCGCTCGGGCACGCTCGCCGCAGAGTGGCGGCGGACGAGACGACGTCGAGGAGGCCACGGGCAGCATGTCCGAGGCCCCGAACAGCCACACGCTGGGGCGGGCTGCCTTCGCCTCGCCGCCGACTCAAACAAAATGTCCGAGGTCCCTTCGGAGATGTCCGGCCTGTCGGACGAGGTGCCAGCAGCCTTGCAGGATGCCGCCATCGTCTGCAGTCATTCGTCTGCAATCATATTGCTCCTGACGGATGGAGGACGCTGCCTGTCGAGCATACATTGGCCCTGACAGCTGATCTCGCAGAGCGCACCGCCGAACTCCTGAAAAAATGCTGCGAACCTCGCTGGCAAAGACCGCACCAGGGCTCGGCGGGCACGGGCCTCCGAAGCCAAGAGCAAGTCAGCCGCTTGGGCTCATTCGACAGGTATTGAACCCCACGCAGATGCACTGAACAGGGGAATCGTCCCTACTTTCCTGCATGGCGTCAGGCCATTTAATGGTCTTGACGTTCAGTCGGGTTCTTGCAGGCTGAGGCGCAGAGTCTCGCCGAAGTTTGGCAGACGGAGTTAGGCCAGGCGCCTCGCACTCCGCGGGGGGGCGAAGGCGGGCTGCCCCCGACTCGGGGGGACCCCTTGAGGCGGGAGAGAGAGCCCCTGGGATAGAGAGAGCCCCTGTGCAATGATAGAGTATGCTGCATGTGATCGTGTTGTCTTAGCTCTTGGATCAATGGGAGAAGTTTCGCGATGCTTATGTTTGTCCTGGAGTGCGCCCGGGAGACTGTGGCCGTTTCTCGCAGGACTCTCCAACGCCCCACTGTTCATCTTGAAGCTTCAAGTTTCCAACGGCTACATAGGGTGAGGGCGGGCCGTCTTTAACATGTTGTTATCGCCCTACCGCCTCGCACACTCGTCTTAAGAATTGTTGAATCGGGGTCGCACCTCCCGCCCTTGCACCGCGACCAGTCGCCTTAGAAGTCCCCAACAGCCTCACGAAAGGAGGGAGCATTTTTCCTCAATGGCACAATCGCTTGGGACCTTCCCTTTCGTACTGGTGCGGTAAGTTACACAGATGGAAGTCGGATTATTGTCAAAGCGGGTTTGTCGATTGAGATTTGTTTGATAGTCGCAGCATGAAGTGAAAGCATGTGCCTCAGCTGCATGTAACGAGGTCAGTTTCTTTTCATACTGGGGCTCGCACTTGACACTCCTTGAAAATACGATCCTACCTGTTCGCGTTCCTTACAGCTAGCAGGATGGATGGAGGCCACATTGCCAAAACGGGGCTCGCGACTGAGTTTCATGCCCACGGGGCGCTCTCCTTCAAGGGGGCGCTTCTTACATTTGATATGGTTTTCTGTTCGATCTCATGTGGTGGCGAGTTGGGACGGGGGGGTGTATCGTACCATCGTTGATGTTTCCTTGGTCTGCTCTGGTCCTGTCCTCGTCGTCGCCTTCGTCTTCCGCTCGTGCCGCTCCGCAGAGCCGTCCTGCCAGAGCTCGAGCGGGGGGGGGGGGCGGCTCCTGAGAAGGCACGGGGCCTCTTCATTAGAAGCCCTCCCGCCCGCGGGACGCCGTTTTGAAGCGCTCCCTTTTTCCGAGCCTGTCGGAGGAAGGATTGCAAAAACGAAGGATTGCAAAAAAACGAAGGATTGCAAAAAAAACGAAGGATTGCAACAAAAAAAGGATTGCAAAAAAACCTTCGTTTTTTTGCAATCCTTCGTTTTTTTGCAATCCTTCGTTCAAGGGTTTTTTTGCAATCCTTCGTTTTTTGCAATCCTTCGTTTTTTTTGCAATCCTTCGCCCCTTGCCGTCTGAGAAGGTCGCTTCCGTCGCCCCACCCCCGACCGAAAACCGGACACGCGCGAACGGTGCGTTCGTTAACACCAGCTGTGGGAACATCAACTGTGTGGGAACTCGTGGCTCGTGGGAGCGCGTGCTCCGTGCTTTCCTGCAGCTCGCTGTGCCGCTGTCGCTCGGAATATTCGCGCATCTCGAATGCAGGAAGCGGTGGTTCGTGATGCCCTACGCTCTCTCCCTTGCGAGCTGGGTGTCACGAACACCAGATTCCCAGCCGCACCGTGAGCCAAGCATGCTCTGAGCGCGGCCTTGGCAAGCCGTTCCAGCTGCGTCTCCCGCCGTGACGACGAGAACCTCCAGAACCACCAGAGAGCTCCACGGCGACGGCGTCGGCGACGCCGGCGTCGTCGACGCCGTCGCCGAAGGCCACTCAGAAGCTTCCCAGAGGTGCCGACAGTTCAGGCCTCGGCCAAACAACTGGCCCCAGGCCCCGCCCGAGGTCCATCCCGGCAAGTTGTTCCAGCTGTGTCTGGCCGTGGCGACGAGAACCTCCAGAGCCACCAGAGAGCTCCAAAGTCCACGGCGTCGTCGACGCCGTCGTCGAAGTCCACTCAAAAGCTCCCTCCCCTCCTCTGTGCCTGTAGGCCTCCCAGCTGGGGTCAGAGCAGACGGAATAGGGTCGAAGGCTCATCGGCGATTCGGCGCGATGCTCGATCCAAGATCGAGGTCGGTTCGGGGAAGGTGCACTCGTGTTCCTCGTGTTTGCTGGACGAGGGTACCTTTTCGCTGTTCTGCGTGTTGTGGCCGGCGGAGGGTCTCATGTTCTTGAGGGATGTTCTTCTGGCCTTAGGTACGACTGTACCACCAACGCCAGGCTCTGAGATTGCCTTCCACCGGGGGAGGCAGCCCCCTAAGTGCTGGTGTCGTTGCCTATATATCAGTGCCTCCAATGCCAGGGGTGCCAGACGTGCAGGGCAGTCTCTAGGATTTTCTCCGTCCTGGCCCCTTCGTTTTCGCATGCGGCTCACAATCGCAGTGGATACATTTCGGATGCCAGTGCAACCGCCAAGCCGACACCCGTTGAGTTTGAGCGAGCGTGTGCTACTGTGGCCAAGGCGCGTTCCCGCCTGGGAGCGGTGGCTGGCAGCGAGGCTCTTGGCTAGCCTTTTCCCCTCCCCGATGGCAGAGAGAGAGGGCCGCGTGGACGCCCCGGTTCTGTGTATTTTGGCCGACGGAGGGTCTCGTGCTCTTGAGGGACGTCCTTCTGGCCCAGGCCCGACTGCACCCGGACCCCATTTAGGGGGCCTCCGGGTGCCCGCTGCCCCCCACCTGCGAGGGCGCCGAGCTCGAGGGCCAGGAGGAGCACCTGGCTCGCCGCCGCGACGCGGCGCTCACGCGCACGCGGGGGCTCTTCGAGGAGGTTCGCCAGATGGAGGCGCGCCCACCACGGCCGGGGAGCCGTCTGCCCATCCTTCTGCACGAACGAGATGGGCACGGAGAGAGTGGGTGCAAAGCTCAACAGCAGTTCCTGTTTATTTTGGACAGGACTCGCTGTCGGTGTCGCCGCGGACTGTGCCTATTTGAGACAGAGGGCCGCCTGCCCAACAGCGGCCGCTGTTGGTTTGGGACAACATTTGTTGTTGGGCATTGTGCCCATTTTTTCCGTACCCATTTCGGGCGTCCAAAATCCTGCCACCATAGGGGGATGCGAAGTCTTTTGAAGACGGGACGGGGTGGGCACGAGCGGGCAGCATAGCCAGCTCGAAATCAAAAGAGGCATCATCGCCTCATCAAGCTGGATTGACCCACTCACGGATCCAATGCAACTTTTTGATTGAAATCATTGCATTCGTAGCATGCTCTCCCCACGCGTCGTCACAGGAATGCGACGGACGGATTTTTGCTATCTTCGGCCCCAGGGCCCTCGCCGGACCCCTGGGCCGTGACAAGTACGACTCGGGATGAAAAAAACGGTCCCGGGGAATAGGTCGAGACCTTTGGGGGTCGACTTTGTGCAAAAATCATGACGTCGGGGGCTTGTGAGGAAAACCATCCAAAACGTAAGTTATCAAAGCTCCATGCGGACTATCAAGTGTTAATGTTCATGCAGTGTTTCTCCACCCAGTGTTTGCATTTGGGGGATCGCATGTCTTTTCTAAGGAACTGGGCTGGTGAGGCGGTCTGGCGGCTATGGTGCCGCCGTCGTCGCTCCGTTGCCGCACCGTCGCCGCCTCGTCGCCGTCCGTCGTCTGGGACAGTGTGGCCGTCTGGCGGCTGTGTTGCCGCCGTCGCCGACCCGTCGCCGCCTCGCCGCCGCCCTGGATTGCACAGCATGTATTCTCCCTTCTAAAGGGAGAATACATAGACTCTACTCCCCCCCCCGGCGTTATGGGCCCCCCTTTCGGGTATGTAAATCATAGATGATTCTGACCACGTGTCCATCCTAAATATAAATTTACACTATCCCAGGGGGGCCGGTATCGACACCCCTGAGGTTCCCTTGTAAAAAACGATACGCGGGGACATCTTTTGTTCTAACATAGCACTTTTTCGCGAATCCCTGGCAAACAACTTGGACGAAGTGCACACGCGCGCGCCGTCGCGCGCACATGCCGCAATCCTCCAAAAACCTTCGGTGTCGGAAGGATTTCGCAATCGACTTCCCAAAACATGCAAAAACAGAGGGTTTCGCAACACTGATTTGCTAAACAAATTTACGCGCGAGCTCTTGCGAAATCTTAAGAAAACCACAGGGTTTTCAAGATTGCGAAGGCCTTACGGCCGGTGCCGCCGACCCTGTTCGCAATGCGCAGCAAGAGGCACGGGCTGTGGGATGGTTTTGGGGAGCGGGGAGAAGGACGAGAAGGTGGGGGAGGGAGGTGTCGTATCTGACCCGGGACTTCCCCGGGACTCCCCCGGGACCCCCCCCGGGACCCCCCCTCCCCCCCCCGTCGGGGAAGGGAAAGGGAAGGGGCTTCCCTTCGACTCAATTACGACGTTGCTCAAGGTCGGTACGGGGGGGGGGCGTCGTATCTGACCCGGGACTCCCCCGGGACCCCCCCCGGGACCCCCCCTCCCCCCCCCGTCGGGGAAGGGAAAGGGAAGGGGCTTCCCTTCGACTCAATTACGACGTTGCTCAAGGTCGGTACGGGGGGGGGGCGTCGTATCTGACCCGGGACTCCCCCGGGACCCCCCCCGGGACCCCCCCTCCCCCCCCCGTCGGGGAAGGGAAAGGGAAGGGGCTTCCCTTCGACTCAATTACGACGTTGCTCAAGGTCGGTACGGGGGGGCCGTCGTATCTGACCCGGGACTCCCCCGGGACCCCCCCCGGGACCCCCCCTCCCCCCCCCGTCGGGGAAGGGAAAGGGAAGGGGCTTCCCTTCGAATCAATTACGACTTTGCTGAAGGTCGGTTTGGCTAGCGCGCTTGTGGAGGAGGCCCTGGGAAAGGGCGAGGGGAGCGGGGAGGAGCCCAGGGGAAGAGGGGTACCAGGGAAAGGGAACGACAGAGACGACGATTACAAAGAATGACGGAGATGACGGCTCGAACGGAAAAGCCCCTCACACACGCCGACAGGGTCGGCGGATTTTTGTAAGCCCGGGCGGGGTGAAAACCCGTCCCCCCCCTAAAAAAATAGCCTGGCGAAGGACCCAACCATATGCAGTTGTGAATGCCGCAATTGTGCTGGGTGGTGGCGGACGCGCCACTGCTTGACCGCTGGCCCCCCGCCGCTCCCGCCGTTCCTTCGGGCCCGCGTGCGCCCCGTGGCCCTTGGAATCAAAACTTCCCAAGTCCGCCACCGTGCCCTCGGGCACGAGTTTTAAGTCGGACACGTCTTTCCGCAGGAGGAGCACTCAAAAATAGTAACAAAGCAGTTTGGGGACGATCTTGCAATATGATTAGTGCCTGCACGTGAAGGCTCTAGAGAGTGGGAAAGCGCCGCTGCCCGTCCGGGCTCAAGCTTCGAGGCAGGAGTTCTTCGCTGGGGTTTCCTGCCCTCCCGTCCTTGCAGCCCTCCAGTCAGCTGCCATCCGCGGGTCCGCGGGCTGGAGTTGGCGGCGCTGCGCCAGGCGGTGATCTCGACGGTGCAGAGCTGCCCTCCTGTGTCGCTGGCATGCCCGCGGGCGAACATTTCCTGCCCCGCGCCCTTCTGCCCAGCGCCCATGTGCACGGCGCCGCTGGTCACCGTGAGCTGCCCTCCCTGCGAGGGCGTGACGGGCCTCGCGGTGGGGCGAGCATGGACCGAGGAAAAGGTGTCTTTCGGCATCCTCGGCGCGGTCGCAGGCGCGGTGGTCACCGCAGCTGCTCACCGTCAGAGGCGTGGCTCGTCGGAGGTGGAGTCGGTCGAGGCGCGTGCGAGGCAGCAGGTGGCTCTGTTGGGGCTCCGCAGTGGCGCGGCCAGGTGAGTACATCTGGATCATATACGATCTGCCAGGGCCGCCTATCTTCCACCAGCGTCTGGTTACCGCGGTCAGTGTGGCCTTGCCTGCGCTCGTCTCGACGCTGACGGAAGACGGAGATCATTACGTTGAGGATACTCGCTGTGATGATGTGGCGGAGGTGCGCTGGTCAGGGACTCAGGGCTCTACCCCGCCTGGCGTCGAGCCCAGGCAGGTGTACCGTTTCAGGCAGTTGCCGACCGCGGCCGAGCTCGAGCAGCTCCAGCGCGACGGCGCCCTGATGGTGGGCGGAGTCGCGCCAGCCGCTGCGGGAGCCGCAGGCGGCGCTGGCCTAGGTGCTCCTCCTCAGCCCGCGGCCCCGCCCCCGCGCCAGGGAGGAGAGGCGGGCGTGGTGGCCCGCGCGGGTGCATCCTCGGCGCGGTCGCAGGCGCGGTGGTCACCGCAGCTGCTCACCGTCAGAGGCGTGGCTCGTCGGAGGTGGAGTCGGTCGAGGCGCGTGCGAGGCAGCAGGTGGCTCTGTTGGGGCTCCGCAGTGGCGCGGCCAGGTGAGTACATCTGGATCATATACGATCTGCCAGGGCCGCCTATCTTCCACCAGCGTCTGGTTACCGCGGTCAGTGTGGCCTTGCCTGCGCTCGTCTCGACGCTGACGGAAGACGGAGATCATTACGTTGAGGATACTCGCTGTGATGATGTGGCGGAGGTGCGCTGGTCAGGGACTCAGGGCTCTACCCCGCCTGGCGTCGAGCCCAGGCAGGTGTACCGTTTCAGGCAGTTGCCGACCGCGGCCGAGCTCGAGCAGCTCCAGCGCGACGGCGCCCTGATGGTGGGCGGAGTCGCGCCAGCCGCTGCGGGAGCCGCAGGCGGCGCTGGCCTAGGTGCTCCTCCTCAGCCCGCGGCCCCGCCCCCGCGCCAGGGAGGAGAGGCGGGCGTGGTGGCCCGCGCGGGTGCCCATGCCGCCGCCCCGGTGGTCGCGCACTCGGTCTGGCTCGCCACGGGAGACTTTCGCGGGCTCAGGCGTGGCGAGAGGCTGCCAGACTCGCTTTCCGCGAACAGCGTGATCGAGGGCGATTCGGCGCTGTTGCCTTTCGCAGGTGGTTTCGCGACGGCCAGGCTGGTGCCCGCCGGCGAGATCGATGCGTTCGCGATCAACGATCTCCGCGCGTTCCCAGTGAAGTTCAGCCAGGAGGGCTCACGCCGTCGTCCTTTCACGGGGGCGGTGGACGTTCAGGTGGGGGGCGAGCCCGAAGGCGGGCTCATGCTGGATGGGCCGCCCTCCTGCCACTGGCTGCTCCGCTCGCGGCGAGATCGGCGCCACCCCAACATACTTATACCACATGTGCACCGCCCGTCCAGGGGCGACGCGCGCGCCGAGAAATCTTACAGCATATGCGTTTTGGCGGGCGCTTTCTGGCCACACCGCTCGGGAAACGATATACTACAAGATGGGCTTCTATATGTTCGGGTCGGACGCGCGCTTCCAAGGATAACATATAGCATTAGCATGTGTTTGTGCGTCCCACGAGATGCTGGGCTCGCGCCCGTCGCGCACCAGGCGAACAGGCTCAGGGCGGGCCGCGCCCCCGACGGGGGCCGTTCGATTCACGAGCACGAGGCGGTATGCAGGGTGATCGAGCCCATGGTCGGCGTGGGCCAGCTCGACGCCCCCGCGCTGCAGAGCGCCGAGCTCCTCTGCCGCCGCCTGCAGGTGATCGAGGGCGCCCGCGCGGTCTCGCCCTCGGCGCCAGACTACTCGGCGGCGGACGAGTACATGGGCTGGGCGCCCCATCGCGGGGGAGCAGCGGCGGCGCCTCAGCTGCAGAAGCACGCGGCGGCCAACCTTCGCGACAAGGCCGCGGGGCGACCCCACATTCCACCGGCCATCCCCCACGATACCACCACCCCCTTGGTTGGCGCGGGCGGGTAGTTGGTTTTTTGACGTGCATAATGGGTGGGGGAGCTGCAGGGCTGGGTGAGCGTGCCGCAAAGAGCGCGGCTGGATACCAAGTTCGTAGGGCTC